ACTCCCTGAGAGGACGAGTCTTGTAGTGCTTGTCTTTCTCTTTCTTATCCCTGGAGTCGTACTGGTGACACAGCCAATCCCACACCCCCTTTCGTCCGAAGACGTTCCGGTGGAAATACTGACAGGCTTGGTACCATTCATCCCGAGAATCCCAATCTGCAACCTCTTGGCACTGATTGGTCATCTCGGCAGCGCGAGAGAGGCAAGCCGTCATGTTGCCCATCAACGGTGCCATCTCGAGTCCGTGCTCACGGAACAACGGGCATCCACGACCTTGGAGTCGGAGAACTACTGAAGCGCGTTTGAAGATTGGCGCCATTTTCTCAAGCTCCGTCTTCACATACGATGCCATGATGAACTCTGGATGCTTCGTGGGTAACGAAAGAAGCTCTGGTATATTGAATGACCCTATGGTCGTACTGGCGGCTGCCTCGTTGGGCCATCTGAATCGATCCCACGTGAGACGGATAAGCTGTTTCTCCGGCAGGCCATACCAATCTTCATTGCCGAAGTCAATGAGGGCTGTTGCACCTTGGGCCACTATCGGCTGCTGGGGAGGCGCCTGTTGGATAGGCGCGGAGGTACTCGGTGCCTTTTGCGGCTGCGGAGCGATCGGGATGGCGGGAGCGGGGAGGTACTTGGTGGTGGTGGGGATGGCGGACAGCGTCCCCATCTTGGGTGCTGGAGGGTCTTGCGTACTTGACGCGGGAGGCTGGGCTGGTTTGGGGATAACTGTGAGGTCATCAAGATGGTGTTCCAACCCCAACCAGATGGCAGTATCTCTGTACTGCTGAAGGAATGTTCGCAGCCTCCCATCTTCATCCTCTTGGATCTCCCACCCATATGGCCGAAATCGGCACCAGAACTCGACAATTGCGTCTTTCCAGATGAGGAAATCTCGGTTGAGGGTAGAAAGCCCTCCTGGGAAGAATGGCATCAGGTGCATTTTCGCTGCTACCATCAAGGCCAAGATTTGAGCAGCTGGTGCCTCACATCCTGCATCAGTACCGATGGTACTTAGGAAGGACTTCATCTCAGCAACAACCAGATGCTTCTTATCCTCCACATCTTGTAAAGCCTTTAGCTGAGGGTCGATCGAGGGAGCTGATGGGAGGGTAGGTGGGGGTTGGGTAGGAGTGTATATCGGAGGTAGCTCGACAACCTTATGGGCAGGTGCGATGACTACCTGATCCTTCGTGGTAGTCGTTGTCGACTTCGTAGTGATTTGAGCCACTTCTGGCTTCGGTATGGTAGGTGTCGCGGCGACCTTCTCGTGCTCGGTAGACGTATAGGCTGGTGGTGGTTGCCTAGGTGCAGACCGCCAGTAATCGCGTTCTTTGCGACGGGTATTGCCCCAAGAAGTCGACAGTTGAAGAACGGGATAGTGTGTCGGGTCGCGTCGATCGGAGTGTGCGAACGACTCGCCGGTGCCGCGGAAGTTGGTGAAGGGGAACTCGAACGGCGGAGGATATGAAGGAGGCGCTGGCTCTGCAGGCGGTAGTGTGACGGGCGGCGGTGTGATGTGAGCGACGGTGGGAGTGACAGGGAGCTTCGTGTCTTGCGATTGTCCCTTTTCGGCAGGTTCATGGGGGTGATCTTGGTCGGCCTCGGGATGAGAGCCTATCCAGTAGGTATACTTGATATATACGTATAGGTAAAAGGTGAGGTAGATGCAGATGAGGAGTGCGATGAAGCGGAGGTAGAGGGGAACTCCTTCGAAATTGTGGGTGAACTGATAGTAGACTTCCCAGCAGATCTCCCAGTATAGGTACGAGACGAAGGTGCGGAGATAGCGAACAACCAGCGGAAAGACGCCAAATGATGCGGCGATGCGACCGATGTCGAGAGCTACTAGCAAGAGGAAGCAAAGAAGGGCGATGGTGACAGTGCGCATCTTGTCGGTATAGCGTGCGGCAGGTGAGTTCGCAAAGCAGGGTATGATGAGATTTTGGGTATCGTCAAATAGAAGAGCTTGTGTTGGTTGCTGCGATGGGAAAGAATTGGAGTGTTTGATTTGATAACTGAGAGCAATGAAGCAGGACGGGTGTTTTGAGGGTTTGTATCGCTTTGTGCGTGGGCAAAAGATATTTTGACTGCTATTGTGGCTGGGTCCGTGCCTATTGTTGGTCACCGTGGAAATGACGACAGTTTATTCTGAAAAAGCGGTGGTGAGTCGCGAATTGCGATGCGGAGCGCTGGACAAACGGATGGCTTGGCGCGATACCGGCGGTGGACGAGAAGTGAAAGGGACAGCGACAAGACGCGCTATTCGCCAGAACGCTATCATCAGCTACAAATGATGTGTTTGACTAGGATATCGTCCCATTAGAAGGAGAGACCCCCGGATCAAGGTGTCTATGAAGCATGGCGTTCGCTCAAGTCGATGGGAAGGACCATAGAAGTAATATCCAGTCAAAGCCGGAAGGTGAGTAGTTGACGAGACTTTACCTACAGATCCATATCGCAGTGTCGGTTCCGACTTCAAGGCCTCCGTCCAATCTGAAGATCTAAAGCTTTTGCGAGGATGTATAGCATCTCCAATCGTACGCACGCCACACCCTTCTCCTTACCCATGCGAACGGGGTTGCCCACAATAGCCTCTACTTCTATTCTCCGATTCGACTGAACGTCCTGAAGCATACTAGGTTCAATACCAGCGTTCGTAGGGATCCTGGCTTGCGCCCGGCTAAGCTGGTTGTCCACCTGCTCGCGCGTGATTTCGTAGCCATGCGCAGCTGCGATGTCGCGAATCTCAAGCATCACAGCTAGTACAACACCGTCCGCCTCTTCCGAGGCAGTTAGAATATCTGTGTCTTTGCTCAGAGCGAGAGCACACATGGGGTTCCAGGATGCATTGACGAGTAGTTTAATCCATCGCTTGTGCTGAACGTCCTCGTAGAATTCCGCTGTAGCACCGGCTGCTGTGACAAGTTCCGTGAAAGCTTTAGCACATTTACTTGGTGCAGAAGAGGGATAGGCTCCGACTTGAAGTTTCTCAACTTCACCGTGTTTGATGACGCCGGCTGGCCGTTGGGTGGCGGGCATATAGACGACAGCGCTGATGATCGGGTTGTTTGGGTATGCCTTCAAGTATTCTTCTTCGATACCGACCCCATTCTGAATAAGTACGATAGCCGTATGTCCAGGTGTGACGGCAGAAGCGATGAGCTTCGGTACCGTATCCGGGATAGCCTTGCTGCAGACGATGATGTAGTCAAATGGATCTGATGATTGAGACGCTGCTTCTCCACAGTCTCGGACTACGTTGGGTCGGAAATGGAGGTTTTGACCAAATATGGATGAATTGATGATGAAGCCATCTTTTTTTACGACCTCATAATTCGAGCGGCAGACGGCAGTGGTCGCGGCTACCTTGCTGAGCAGGTACAAGTATACAGTTCCGACGCTACCGGCACCGAAAAGAAGGATTCTTGGCTGCTTCCCGGAAGACATCATGGAACCTCAATATCGAGGATGGTGTTGTGCGTAGCTCTCCTGCAGTGCGACATGGAGGATTGGATGGATGTCACAGTCATGGCCCCACGGCTCTTTCCGTGGCCCCCAAATTTTCGCCGCGGAACGGGTACCCGTATTCTTCCCAAGCCAACTTGGCGCTCCTTTACAGACCATCAGTAAGCCATCTGCGGCAACAGTCAACCCTTCGTTGTACACTTGAAGCGGTTATTAATCCACAACGACAGGGGCCGTCTTACTTGTGGGCTCATTGCACGCGCGCAGGCTGTCGCGACAACAGCAACATCTCAGAGGACGATCGTCGCACACATTCAGATAGCATCCACTGTGATACAGCAGCACAGCTAACAACCCTGAAAAAGATATCAGTGCCTCAGCCGCACTGTGGGCCCGCAGGAACACAGCGTGGCTTTTCATGCAATCTGGAGCCTCGCCTCGATTCGCTGCCTACGTTACCCATGCCGCATCCTGCATGCCAGGTCAGGAAAGGAGTGGTCAGGCCTGTGAAGCTATGATGGATACGACCCCCAAGAGCTGGGCAACTAACTTCAGGTTGCCTTACATGTTAGTGGTCGTCAGCTCCGTACACCAGCTGTAGTTATAACAGCTATGAGATGATCCGGCGCCCTCGTATTCTGGTTGTCTGCTTAGCCGCCCCGCCAAAGCCAATTTGCGGCTAACGTACCGCGCGCCGACGCGATGATGCATAACCTCCTCTTGCTCCTCCTGACAGCACTTGCAACGCGCGTTTTCGCAACGAGTCAGATCGCGCTTTTCGAGGATGATAACTGCCAAGAGTCATTGCGAGGTTTAGAGGGTCCAAACGGCTATCCGAATGGTACATGTACAGATCTCAGGCGCAATGGCCCTTATGGGAGCTTCCAGGTCGTCGGCCTGGACCCAGGATGCACAGGTATGTTGCTTCGCGACAAGATGGATGCGAGGATGGCCATGCTGACAATGCGCGCAGTCACCATTTATATGAACGATACGACCGTCGACATATGCTCCGGCTTCCAAGAAGAGATCCAACCGATCGACTGCTACAATTCGACCTTCGTGTACTACAGTATCGACTTCTGCGACGCCGGTGCCATCGGTGAATCACCCTCTGCCACATCCACGCCTACACTTACATCGACCCCGTCGTCCACACCACCTCCCTCAGGCTCCTCAGGCTTGTCGACGGGCGCGATAGCGGGAGCAGCAGTTGGAGGAGGCATAGGGCTAGGCATAATAATCGGATTAGCGGTGTTCATCATCATGAGGAGACGGCATTCGTCACGCCCACGAGAGATGTCGGGCTCTACAGACCTTACCAGCGTCACGCCACATGAGGTACACGCAAAGCACATACAGGAGTTGGGACCAGGAGCGGTGGCATACAAACACGAACCTGTGGAAATTGAGCAACCGCCTGTTGAAATTGGGGGTATGGAGATGCGGCGGGAAGAGGTGAAAGGGTCGCGCTAAGACATATGTTTCAAACTGGGTACAAGCACAGTAAGAGCTGTAGTATCCATACATCACATCTGCTCTACCACAGCACTCTCTGAACTTCACCCATGTTCTCATCTCTAATTCCCTAGCTGAATCGCAGCATACCCCCAGCTGTAGTCTACCACATGATCGAATGCCTCCACACTCAAACCTTGCGCTGGCCCGAAAATCCAACCAGACGCGACTGTTCTGGGATGAGCGCGCATAGCACTGAGCGCTGCTCTGATCTTCCTCTGGTTGTGAAGTGACAACCTTCCGGGGTTGCGATCGGGGGGGTACCAGAGGAACCTCCGAAGAGCTCTGGTAAGGCGCCTGCTCCCAGAGCTTCTCCAGAACGAGGCTATCAAGGCGAGGCATAGACTCAAGTATCTCTAAGGATTGGTGCCATGTCCCATGCTGGAGGCCCACGGAAAGAAGTTCGACTTTCTCCAGTACCGGTGCATGCAGTCGCAGGAAACCGAGCCATTCCTCGTGATGGATCACGGTTGAAAAGATGCTCAGGTTTCGAAGACTGGGGAAAGACAAGGCCCCGGTTTGCTCGCATGCCAGGAACAACACCTTGATGGTCAGCCTGAGTTCAAGTTTGGTGATACCGGTGCTCAAGCTCAGTAGTCTCCCAATCCAATCACGATCCATTCCGCCAGTAATTGAGAGGCATCGCAACCGGTTGCACAAACTTTCGCGCCAGCATATTGACTCGATGTCGAAGTACTTGAACGTTTTCTGTGGCCAGCTAGGGTTCCAGAGTTCGAGATCCAGCTCAACCTTTTCCTCCACTTGAGCTTGTGTCAGTGCTTGCAAGGTCAACCCGTACACTCGATTGTAGCTATTGTCGTCCACCTTTTTCCAGGCCACAGAGTACTTGTCGAACATCGACGCTCGGCCACACTTGATAGTAGCTTTGTCCGTCCGAAACAGTGAATGTTGGAAACTAGATTTGTCGACGCGAACAATTTGCAAGTTCTTCAACTCTCGCAAGACCTCAGTAAGGATCAAGAGATCCATGTGAGACTGTTCGACGCTCGTTTGCAGGTCCTTATGCTTCTCTTGGTTCACAGTGAGAGGTATCGCGTATCCGATTCGCTCGCCGCTCACAGTCACTTGGTGTACGTATATTGATAGTGTCTTGTGGCGGCTGATCTCGAAGAGGGTCATGAGACTGGTCGGATGTAGGATGACGACGAGGTGCCCGAAGAACCGCTGCCCGAAAGCGTTGACCGAATGGGCGGTAAGTGCGCGACATACTCGGCGTACATTGATAAGGTCTTGATCGTCAAGGTAATCAGAGATGTTGCCGATTATCTCAGCTGGAAGGTCGAGTAGCCGAAACGGCAGCAGCAACTTCCGAGCAACTTCCGCTTCCTCTTGGGCGAGGACCGCCTTCTTGCGAGCTCGAGTGGTGACCATGGTGATGAGGCGATGGGGGCGCTTGCAGAGAGGGTGTGGTTGAAGAGTCTGCGTCGATGCGAGGTGAGAGATCGTGTGAGCGAGACGCTCTTGCCCGTTTGTCAACACCCGGGTCGTGCGCTTTTACGCTAAGCCTGAACCTGATGTGAGAGAAGGTACGACAGAGGAAGCTAGCAGCGGAGAGCATTCCTGGTGCCTAGGAAAATTCATGGAAGACACGTCACCTAGTCATCTACGAGATAAAGTAGGCTATGTAATTATTATTGCGTACATTGTCTTCTCAAGCCATTCCCTGCCCGCAACGGCAATGCATACGTAGCTTGCTTTCTGATAGCCGGAGTCGTTGCTTGACTTCTGACCAGCTGCCTCAGTACCCTGTGTCTGGGAAAGCTACGTGGCATACCCACAATTTATAGTCGCCGCATCTGTCTTGATTATCATTTTGGTGCTATCACCACGCGAAGATATCGCTATTTCCGTGGTATACTCTCTCTAGGTTCTCCCGCAACTTCGACCACGGAGCGGATGGGGAATCAGTTGACAAAGCGACAGACCAGGCGGACAACAGAGCAGCGTTAGCCAGTGTGAAGTCAATCCGATAGTCAATGTGGCCAGGGTATTCGAACTCGAAGGTGTATGGAACTGGAAGCAGGGCTCCCATGACGAGCAAAACATCTGATCGATTGCTACATGCGACCCCCTGTGGACATGTCGACACTCTGTCCGAACATGGTTCCAGCGCTGGATAGGCTATACTCTGACTCAGCCAAGCAAAGCACACATTTTGTAGAGCCGGTAGTTCGTAGATATTCTCCAGTATTCCAGACCAGGACTCGTGCTGCAAAGAGACATGCTTTAGTATAATACGAACCAATGTATTCTTGTGCATCTTGAAGAAGTCGTTAAGAACAGCATTCGTAATACCAATACAGCCGTCATAGATAGCCAGGGAACGAAGGTGCGGCCAAACATCCAAGCCACCCTGGGCGTTGCTGAACCTGATGTATCCATGGTGAGGAAGCAGGCTGAGTTCCTGCAATGACGAGCACGAAGCAGCAAGGTTGTGAGACCATCTGCCGGTATCCATAGTAGTAATCTCAAGTCTTAGAACCCTGGACGACAAAGAATCCTTCCAATAAGGTAAGCTGAGGTCGAAAAGCTCGTATGCTCTGGGCGATGGAGCCAACGTAGACCAGCCTCTAAAACATAAACTCAAGTCGAGGCAAATCTTGTCGCAAACCATAGCTCGCTCCACAGATCTCATCATCACTTGGATCAAGTGATGTAGGGCGGTGAAGCTGCCTTGAAGCTGTTCCATACGGAGTCTCTCTGGGCCGCAACGGAGGCCGATCGCTTCCGAGGAAAGGTGTTCCAAGCGCAGGTACGAACAGGTATCTATCCGTATAGTCTCCAGATTCTCGAAACTCTGAAGCGCTTCTGTGAGCATATCTTCCACGGTCGATGCAGGTATGCCAGCGTAGGTCGTCGAAGGTGGACCAGTTTCGCCGCTGATCGATAGAGTCTTCACGAACCGCGAAAGCCTCTGGTGGTGAGCGTAACGCAACAATACGGTCAAGCTTTCCGTGTGGGGTATCACCACAAGATGAGTGAAGAAGCGCGATCCGAAAGTGAAGGCCGAACGATGGCTGAGAGTGCGACAGACCAGTCGAGTCTTTCGCAATGAGTCGTCGTCCAAGTGGTCGCAAACGCTGCTAAACAGCTCCTGATAGTTGCGAACGCGATTAGTATACGATCTTCGCACCGTGCGTCAGAGCGCACTACTTACAAGAGGCAAGTCAAGGATCCGGAAGAAGCTGGGGCCGTGCAGACTGAGAGCGCTGAAAGCGACACTGAGCTCGTCCATGTCGTCGCCGGCTCAGCTGATTGCGCAGCTTGCGCGTCTCGATCAAGAGGGGGAAGCGCGGATATTTAAAGTGCGCAGACGGACTTCGTGGGTAACGGGTGTTGGGTGTCAACTGCTCGCGCGCGCTCACCTGCTAGCGCCAAGACTGCGCGTTTGCTTGTGATCAATCCATCTCAAGTCTTCCTCAGCGATATCCCAACCACCTCACATATCGAAATAGCATAGGAACCGAAAAGTGACGGATAAGAGGTAATAATAAATGTACAGACATGGAAGAAGTCTATGGTCCCAGACCAAAAAGGGATATGATTATCCAAAGTATAACGCCGATAAATGCAGCTTCTGATATCGCAAACGGGCATGCTCCTAAACTCCAAAAGCATTAGGTGATACCCAAATCAAAAGCCAGACGTGCACATTCTGATGCAGGATCCACCGCCAAGACACCTGATTGTACCCATCTCTCTTGTACATTATTCGTGCCAACATCAACCCTAAAAAACATTCTAAATCTTCCTCTTCTTTGTATGAAACATGTTGTATTCTACCCTCTTCCTCTTCGGCGCCGCATCGGCCGCTGCCTGCGCATTCGTCGGCTTCGGCTTGGGTGCGCTGAAGTGCATCCCAGGCGGCAAGGAGGTCCGCGCGGGTGGTGGCGGCGCATTGCGTTGCTGCGGTGCAGGCCTCTGTGTAATGGTCGGGCGATTCGCGGATAGTGACGGCGCAGGCTGAGTGTCAAGCTTCTTGGAAACGGACGCCGAAGCTTGCTTGGACACTACCATACTTTTCGGAGCCTCATTCTCTGCCATTCGAACCATCCTTGCCGGTGCTTGCCTGACGTTGGTCTTTCGCTGAGCTAGAAGATGTGCTGGGATTTGGCTCGCTTTCGGGCGCTCACGGCCATGGTCGAACATGCCGCGCTTCAGCTTGTCGAAAGCGGCTTTGCCCGTCTTTGAAGGTGCACCCGACGGTTGCCCCCAGCTGCTGGTAGTGCGTCCAGTGAACATCTTGCTTGCGCCGGCACCGTATCCAAACCTGGTCTCGACGATCAAGGTCTTGTTCTGTCCGCGATCTTTCTGCAGCGCTTGCATCTGCTGTTTGAGGGCCTCTTTATCCGCCTCTATCTCCAGTTCTGCATCTTTCTTCAACTTGCGATAGACCTTGCTCCAGTTTCGAGGATCGCGCGGCTCATGGGGCTTCGTCTCCCAGTTCGGAATGTCTCGCTTGATAAAGCGAAGCCATATCTCGCCCGTCTCGCCGAGTAGTTGTGGGCAGTTGGCCTCGAGTTCGAGCAGCTGATCGGGGCTTTGTATAAATCGGAGGACTGGCTGGAGGAAGGAGTAGGGTAGATCGCCGACGTCGCGGAGCATATCGATATTCTTGATGAGGCGCTGTCGAGCCAGCTCGAAGAGGCTTGCGACGGGCATGGTGACGGTAATGTCTATGCGGAGGATAAATCCAAAAGCGTTGCGTAAGACGGTGTTGTGAGGCGGAATGCAAAGATCAAACGGATCGGGATGTGAAGGGTTTTGGTCGTAGAGAGGTGGTTTGCTGACAGGTTCGTTGGTGTTCGTTGATAGGGTGTCGTCTATGTAATGTGAATCATGGACAGGCCGAACGAGGGCGGCGTGAACCGTAGATGGGGCTGAGGACCCCACGGGGCTCACGGCAGCATGTTGGTGGGCTAGTCCGGATCAAGAAGCTGGTTGTAAGAGTGACGCTTGCCAGAAGGATGCGAAGCGATGATCAGGAGAGTGATGAAGAGAGTGAAGAGTGAGTGAAAGTGTAGAAGGCGTAGTGGTCGGTCTCTGACGTCTGGTCAGGCGCTAGCGGACCCCTGCCAAACGCGTTGATCGATTCAACTCTTGGACCTCAGCATCGCGACTTTGACGACGACGACGTACGATACCACAAACAACACCTCCCTGTTCTTCGACCATTCAGAAAATATGGCGATCAACGACTGGGGTCTGCTTTCCCAACCGGATGAGGGTAAGGCGTCTTTCACTCACTACAAAGCTCCGACTAATTCCAGCAGATGCGCTGCACAATGTAGCCCGCCTACTAGCTGTCGAAGCACGCCCATACACAAACACGGCCAGTCGCATACTCAAGCCAGACTTCTTCGAGGATGCGCGCCCCAGACAACTCCCCTCCCCGCCCCCGGATGCCTCGGGCGCAGAGGAAGAGGCCGCAGCAGTCGCTGTCGAGCGCGAGCAGCAAGCGCACAAGATCGAGATATGGCGGAAAGACATCATGAACGAGCTGTCGCTGCTGGACTTTGCGATTGTCCGATCCGAATTTACCACGAATAGCAATCACACCGAGCGCGCGCGTTACGCCGATGAGAAGACGGCCATCGAGGCAAAGCAGGAGCACGTGCGCAAGAACATAGAGAACCTGCGCGTCAGACTGGTCGAGGCGAAAGAGACGCTGGCCGTGCGCAAGACGTACGACGAGCTCACGGAAAAGATCACCAACAGCAAGATGCTGAAGCCACGGGACGAGCAAGCACACGCCCACGAGAAGCTGGACCAGGAGATAGAGGAGCTCAATTCAGAAGTCCGATTGGCTAAGGCTACCTGGAAGGAGCGACGCACGCAGTTCGGACGAATCGAGGAAGAAGCACGCGGCATGTTGCGCATGATCAAGGACGAGAAGGAGGAGGCTGAGCGCAAGGAGGGCATGATGAAGGATGGTGACGAAGATGGCGAAGGCGAGGGCAGTACCTCCAGAGGAGACGTTAGCCATGCCGGTACACCGCGACCAGAAGGTGGCATGACACCTGGGCATGCCAGCCAGAGCGGAGACGGCTCTTCGTCACTACGCGTACCACCACAAGATCGCCTGAAGCCTCTATCACGGGAAGCCAGCGCCGCGCCCTCACCTGCTAGATCTGGTGCCGCCGATGACACAGAGATGGCAGACCTTGGGGCACACTCAGGAGATGCCAACGATGGTGACTCTTCTGGGCTGGAAGAGGGCGAGGATCTTGAAGATGGGGAGGAGGATGGCGAAGATCGCACAGATACCAAGATGGACGAATCGTGATCACATGTAGATGATGATTCTTCGATGATTTGATTGCATAGCGCGGTGTTCGGGTATCATTTCATCATCTTTGTACCACTACCATACGGTGGCGGTACCGACTATCTATTCGGTAGTCACGAATCTAAGAAGCTTCACGCATGGCCGCCTTGCCCTTTTCGACAGCCTCTTTCGCCTTGGTGATTTCCTCCGGTGATGCCTGGGCGCCGCCTTCTTTGTTGTTCTCCTACAGATTGTTAGTATGGGATACCCAGCCCATGGCATCCTAAACTTACGAGCTCCTCCTCCAGCCGCTCAACTGCCTGCTCAATCTTGGTCTTCATTCCAGGCAGGACGTTCTTAGTCTCCTGGAGTGCTTGACGCTACACCGCAGTTAGTAATCATGTTTAGTATCAGGATTGCCGAGGCTCTGTACCTCTTGCTTCAGGGTGTATTCGCCGTTCTCATCTCCCTCATTGGCCTCGGCCTTCTTGATGCGCGCCTCTTGTTGCTCGATTTCTTTGTGGTAGCTGGCTTCTTCCTTGACAAGGCGGGTTACGACGCCAGTTGCGATCGCGAGTTTAGATGGAGGCGCCATGGTCGAGATTGATATTGGTTGCAGATCGATGTAGTTTGTGATTGAAAGAGGCAGAAAACGAGAACTGGAGGTTTAGTTGAGCTGATTGGTGTCGCTGTTCGTCGTTGCCTGCTTGTAAACATTTGTTCACAGCGGGGCTAGCTGCCCCACTAGTAGAATTAGTGTACAGCTTGGTCTACATGTGTACACATAATGCTATCAAATTGCATTTGATGTTTGCAGAATGACCTCGGTGGCTTTCATAGAAAGACATCTCCAGTAGCAGTCGTCTTTTGGCTTGCAATTGGACTTGCCTCTGGCATGCCAAGACCACTTACGTCCGTTTGCAGACTAGCCTAGAACGCGTCCCACGCGTCGTTGCGAAAGGAGTAGGCGCGACGAGCCCACCTTCCCTGGCAACCCCTCTACAACATCAACACATTCACCGTTGCTGCCGCATAGAGCACCGCAACCATGTCTTCCCCAGAGAAGCGCCGCTCTCAGCGCACTTCTGCGTCGGCGACTCCACGGCGAAGCGCCCGTGGTCAGAATTCTCAGATATCCGACAGCAGCCCAGCGCCAGTAGGTCCAGAGGAGCAGTTACAGTCCGAGGCTTCGCAGGCGTCGCAACGTGGATCGCAAGCGACTCCTCGCAATGCAAGATTCCAGACCACTTCGACACAATCTCCGCTTTTCTTTCGCTCCTCGCCTGCGAACCCCTCCAATTCGGGGCCAGCGAATGGCGACGAAGAGAGTGATGGCGGTGCGACACCAAAGGCGTCTGCCATGACGATTGGGGGTATGTAGAGACTGATATGAGCTCCCGTATGCACCGCTGACAGACACAGATTCATCGCCCATCCACTACGCATCCTCCTCTAGCCCTGGCCGAGCCCGCAATGCCCAGAACGTCCCTGGGAGCAGTAGCAGCGCCCTTTTCGTGGGCGGCTCCGAGTCTGCAGCCCGCAATCGACGAAGCGATATCCACTCAGACGTATTCGGCACCAGCTCTACCAATCGCCGGCGCAGGCTCTTTGTCGACGAGAATGGCATGCCAGTGCAGGAGGCATCGGACGCGCCGACCTTCTCCAACATCAATCCCGACACATCAGATGCAGACGTCTTGGGTGGCAACTCTACTCGAGTCATTTGGGGAACCAATGTGTCGCTTGTCGATGCCAGACATGCCATGAGAGACTTCTTGATGAACTTCCGAAGGAAGTATCGCATGGTCCAGGATGGCGAGCTGGCCGAGGGCTTGAGTCTTCCAGATAGTCACCCGGCCATGGCCAGGGAATATGTCGACATCATGAAGATGATGCTGGAGCTCGGTGTCACGCCATTGAACCTGGACGCGCGCAATCTCAAGTCTTATCCGCCGACAAGGAAGCTCTGGCATCAACTACAGGCTTATCCGAACGAAATCATCCCCATCATGGACGTGGCGATTAAGGACACTATGCTCGAACTTGCTGAGAAGCGCATGGCAGAAATGCGAACACAGATGTCACAAGCACAGCGTGCTGCTCAACCCAGGGCTCGCGACTCGAGCTCCCTTCCGCCCATGCTGAGTTCCGATGCCCCTACACCTGGCGCCCCGTCGCCGGCTCCGTTCGCAGAGATCCCAAACCTGGTCAGCGAGGTCGACCAAAAGACGTATAACGTTAGGCCGTTCGGTCTCGATCACACCATCAATTTGCGTGAGCTCAATCCTGGCGATATGGACAAGCTCGTCAGTGTGAAGGGTCTGGTAATCAGGACCACGCCCATTATCCCGGATATGAAGGATGGTAAGTGTACAAAGAAAAGATCCAAAGTCTTCTGCTAATTTTGCCAGCTTTCTTCCGCTGCTCTGTGTGCAATCATACTGTCAGGGTCGACATTGACCGTGGCAAGATCACCGAGCCCACCAAGTGCCCGCGCGCCGTATGCGATTCGCCAAACTCGATGCAGATCGTGCACAACCGCTCCGGCTTCGCGAACAAGCAGGTCATCAAGCTACAAGAGACACCGGATGACATGCCGGACGGACAAACACCTCATTCGGTGTCATTATGTGCCTACGATGAGCTCGTCGATGTTTGCAAAGCCGGTGACCGCGTCGAGATCACTGGTATCTTCAAGTGCAACCAAGTTCGCATCAACCCGCGCCAGCGATCCGTAAAGAACATCTTCAAGACATACGTAGACGCCCTTCACATCCAGAAGGTTGACAAGAAGCGAATGGGCATTGACGTTTCAACAATCGAAGAGGAACTCGCAGAGCACGCAGCTGGTGATATTGAAGAGACCCGCAAGGTCTCCGAAGAGGAAGAGGAGAGGATAAAGGCTACTGGCGCTCGTCCTGACGTTTATGATCTGCTCTCTCGCTCGCTGGCGCCCAGCATTTACGAAATGGACGACGTGAAGAAGGGTATCTTGCTTCAACTCTTCGGTGGCACCAACAAGCAATTCGAGAAGGGTGGCAGTCCAAAATACCGTGGCGACATCAACGTGCTACTGTGTGGTGACCCGTCCACAGCCAAATCTCAGATCCTACAGTACGTACACAGGATCGCACCGCGCGGTGTGTACACCTCCGGAAAGGGTTCCTCTGCAGTTGGTCTGACTGCATACGTCACCCGCGATCCCGAGACCAGACAGCTTGTGCTTGAGTCAGGTGCTTTGGTATTGTCTGACGGCGGTGTATGCTGCATCGACGAGTTCGATAAGATGTCGGAGGCAACGCGATCTGTTCTTCACGAAGTCATGGAACAGCAGACGGTTTCCATCGCCAAAGCTGGTATCATCACCACCCTCAACGCCCGTACCTCGATTTTGGCATCTGCCAACCCTATCGGATCGAAGTACAACGTCAACCTCCCTGTCCCTCAAAACATCGATCTTCCACCCACACTACTATCACGTTTCGACCTAGTATATCTCGTGCTGGATCGCATTGATGAGCAGAACGATCGTCGCATGGCTCGCCATTTGGTCGGCATGTACCTTGAGGACACGCCCGAGAATGCCAACAAGAACGAGGTCATGCCTATCGAGTTCTTGACTGCCTACATCTCGTACGCGCGCTCGAACATCCACCCCAAGATCACGGAGCCCGCATCAAAGGCTCTCGTTGATGCATACGTCGCGATGCGCAGCCTTGGTGCCGATATCCGCTCGCAAGAACGAAGAATCACGGCCACCACACGTCAATTGGAATCCATGATCCGTCTCGCAGAAGCCCATGCCAAGATGCGCCTGTCAGAGGAAGTCACGGCCGACGACGTTCACGAGGCTGTCCGCCTCATCAAGTCGGCGCTCAAGCAAGCAGCTACGGATGCACGCACCGGTCTGATCGACATGTCACTCCTCACCGAAGGTACGTCGACCAGCGACCGCCGCAGGAAAGAAGACCTCAAGCGTGCTGTTCTTGCCTCGCTCGACGAGCTCGGGTCTGCTGGCCAGAGTGTGCGCATGAACGACCTAGTCAAGAAGGTGCGAGAAGGCGCTAGCGAACAGGTCGAGAACCAGGAGTTCCTGGAGGTGCTACGTAGCGCCGAACTTGAAGGCGCTGTGCAGATCAGTGGTGAGGGTATGAGGAAGATGGTGAAGAGGGTCATTGGCACCTTCTAGGTCGACTACGAAGCCATGGCGTTTGAGGGGTTATGAGCTCAGCATATCTCATGAGATGACGATGCGATGTGGTGAATTGGGTAGTTTAGCAAGCACTCTGTTGTCGCGTTGCATTTATAAAGACATAGGGTCGTCTTGAATAAGGCACCGAATCTTCTACTTTACTCAGGAAAACTTTCGCGAGCGCCCCTAGCGCCGACCCCCAACACGTGGTGTAAGCCCTGGCCCCGAATGGTCCTGCATGAAGGCAGCACTTGCGACCCCGCATTCCTACCCTCTACCTTCAGCCCACTAACATGCCCAGACTGGCTGCTTCTTCACTCGTTGGCATCGTGTCATGTCCACCTCCAGCGTTAGCGAAGCGTCCGATCCGTCCAAACTAGAACAGGGTGTTGAGACGCTGAACCCGACGTTCTGTGCTACGTGCAGGAGGCTTTCTATACTACCTGAGGATCTGGATGCCAAAAAAATTGTCCCCGTTGAGTATACCTTGGAAGACATCGCCGAAGCCGCAAAGCGAAAATGCTTGCTCTGTTGCCACTTCCTCACCTTCCTGGAGTCGGAGGACGGTATCGAAAACATTGCTGGAGACAGTCGTTTCCAAGCGTGTCTTAAACATATAGCAAACTGCCCATCCTACGACGCATCGAATCTGCCCGGCCTCACACTGATCAACTTTTCAATTCTTGGGTACATGGGTCTCGACAACCGTGGTATTGGACTACAACTCGAAGTCGCCGAGTACAATCTTTTGGATGGAACGCCATTCGTGTATCGGAGATGTGGACTCAGTGCGCTGCCCCCGGTACGTGTCACGACAGCCTTGACTTCTTGGACTGGCGACGAAGCACATCTCCGCACCATCACTGAATGGATACAAACATGCGAGAAAACACATTATACTTGTCATCAGGAGAAGCTCAGGAGGACTGGTACGTTCGTACCGACCAGACTCATCGATGTCTCAACCGCCGATCTACCGCACCTTACAACCGCAGCCAGACTTCCCGACAAGAAGGACCGTAGATACATCACTTTGAGTCACAGATGGCAGAACGAAGACATGCCTAAGCTTCTGACTTCGAATCTGGACGAGCTGCTTGAAGGCATCAAACCGAATAGATTACCGGCAGTATTTCTAGACGCTATTGACTTGTGTCGAAGACTAGGTGTATCCTTCATATGGATCGATGCACTTTGCCTCATCCAGGATGACCCCACGGACTGTGACCAGGAGATATCGTCCATGGGGGAGATATACGCTAATGCATTTATGCACGTGGGAGCGACAAGGGCCTCTAATATACCTGGAACAGGACTGTATACAGAATCGAACTCAATGGGCCTCGCATCATTCTACATGGACTTTCAATGGGGCCCACTGAGGTTCCCTCGTATTGTTCACGAAGTCACTGCGGTAGAACGTATCAACCAATCAGTACTAATGTCGCGCGGTTGGGTTTTCCAGGAACGACTTTTAAGCCCCAAGTCTATTTACTTTGACGATCTGCTTGGATGGGAGTGCACACAACTAGTCACCACCGAGTTACATCCGGAGGGCGCACCGAATCTTACTGTGCGAACTGGTTGGGGCCATGACTTGCCGTTCAAACTATCTAGTCTTCTCGGGCGACTGAATACCCTGGACAAAGGTAAAGAAACAGTTGATTATCACATGAGATGGCTAGCTCTTGCGCAATGGTTTTCGGGTTGCAAGTTCACATACGACGAAGACGTACTGCCCGCCATATCGGGGTTAGCAAGAGCATTCGAGGCGAAATTGCAAGATCGGTACGTGGGTGGTATCTGGTACAGGGATCTTGTCCGAAGTCTACTTTGGGCACAGCCTTTGGCGTGGAATATCGATCAAGCAGTGTTGCTTCAAAAAGGCCGCGGAGGTTCGTAAGCTCCTTTGCTACTCGTACCCAACAGTCGGACTTTGTCTAATCCTCAACAATAGCACCTTCGTGGTCTTGGATTTCATTGAAACAACGTGTTATATTCTTATGGCTAGGACCCATACTCCAACAGCTGTCCGACCAGCGACCCGCGCATGTCCTCGGAGTGCATATAGAGCATGTTCAGGATGATCAATTTGGGAGAATATCGTCCGGACGTCTCCAGCTCGCATGCTACATGCGAAAAGCCTCTAACAGACCAGCAAGAAACGGAGCATCGCATATTAACCAATGGGTTCTTTACAGCGAATGGACCGAGAATTTTGATGACGGCCGACAATTGTGCGCTGGCTGCTGGTTCTGTGTGCTTCAACTTCTTGAGGCTTATCGTCGTTGGGACGTAGACGATAACGCCGAGATAGAATGGGAGCCGGCGTACCTACTCGGTATCATCTTGGAACCTGTCGACTTGTCTCAGCGACTATACCGAAGAGTGGGGCTTTTTGTGCATCCGTGGGGAGAATATAACACAAGCCAAACGAAAGAGCTTTGCCCGGAGTTCGCGGACGTTGCCCGTTTGGAGGATTTGGAGCAAGAAGAGGTCACCATTATCTGATGAGTAGTGGACGGATCGTTTTAAACGGCAACACCATTTATACCAAGTACGCCAATCGCTAATCTAAACCACACTGCTCAGTGCCCTTTCGTAGTTCTCCTTCTGCCAAAACTTTCGCCATTTCGCCTGCAGGCTCCTCTCCGCCCATTTCCCCGGGTCATCGATGTCAACATACACGTCAGCTTCGTCCTCGCCATCTTCGCTGTCCTGCGAAATCATTCGGATAGCAAGACGTTTCGATGGACCCGTTTTATGCCATATGATGGCCTCCAGAGCAAACGCGATAGGATATTCGAATTGAGACATCATATTCGAAACCAGCCAATTCCTGCACTCAACCTGCTCCATGCGGGTTGAGTTTTGAGATACCTGATGTATGTCGATTGAAGAACAGCCGTGAGTATAGAACTGGAATCCAAGCCCTGCGAGATTCGGTACGTATTCTTGTAACAATCGCACAAGACCCGTATACGTGCTATCCCATTCGTTCGGGCCAGTAAGAGTGATATGATGCAGATGATTCATGCGCTGCGGAGCATGTCTGACCAGATGGTTCAACCAGGGATGTAGGTCCTGCGAATTGACTGACAAGACGGTGTCACGGAGGAAAAGCTCCTTGGCTTCATTGCGGATGGCCTTGTTGGATGCTATGAGGGCCCAGGGTCCTCGGGGCTCGACTGGAGAGTCGGCTTCGTAGCTGCAACGATCTTCTTCTTTGCACATGCCTGACCACTCGGGATTCGCGCATAGCAGCCGCGTGTTCGGATTGGTACGGCGGCAGGGATACCATACGAAAGGCGGCGGCTTTCTGGCTTGGGACGAAGCTTCTTTCTTTGTCTTTACACGTCTGCGTACGTGGATGTGTAACAAGTCGCGTAGGTAATCGTAGATCTGAAGGCGCATTTCAGTTGGGAGGCCTTCGAACGTCGCTCGAGGGTTTCGAGGTGTCTTGAAAATAGAGGCAGGATGTACTTCCTCGATGTCTGAGTCGTCGCATGCTACGGTTTTTCTCTGCTTCCTCTTCTTCTTCCCTTTGTTATCTTGACGAGTCGATCTAAGGGAACTCGCTCGAGACATGCTGGAACTGGCTGATGACGTGTCATAGTAGTCATCATAATCGACAACCTTTCGCTTTCGAGTTGCGCGGACCATTGTAGAGTGACAGATATCGTGAGTGGTATCGAGATTGGTCGGCATATAAGTGAGCTTCACTCACCCCTTGCATATCAACCAGATGCGTGGCTGCGGCACAGCTGGCATAGTTTCCAGGCAGCAACGCATCCACCTATCGGAACCTGCGAGTGTATGCATCATATCCTACGCGATGTTACACTGCGTCTCTCTTGGGTCGTGCTGGATGTCAGCGTCGTACCTTTGCCCCAAGCGACAGATGGAGGTGTTCGACGATCCAAGTGTGAGCTGAGTCAGCGATGAGCCTCGGCACGAACCATCCACAGCGGTTTGCTTCTCACAACGTTCGCAACAGCCCGCGCTCACACTGAAACTCTACGATGCCTGACTTGCATAGTGAAAGCGCCGTGAAAGCTCGATGTACTCGAAACGATAACCTCCACTGCTCCGCAAGTGCTTATCGATGACTGGGTAGCTGATTGCCCGACGAATGCCTACATCCATAGCTTAATTCTACCATCACCCCGACTCACACCAGACATAAGAGGAGCACCATGAAGACGTCCAAGTATGCACCAAAGACGCCTGCCGAAAGTCTAGCCCAATCGAAAGCCGAGAAGCTCAAACAGGAGAAAGATCGCGTCACGCGTTTGCTAGGACGCGTCCGCTGGAAGGCCGAGATGCTCATGGTGTCCTACTTCCGCACCATGGAGATCGTACAGGCAGCTGCGCAGGATAACGAATACCACCAGTCCCAACACGCAATGGGAAGCGGCGCATCGAGTGTAAGCAGCTACTATCAGCCCCATCGTCCCAACCGTCGCGAGACTGACACGGCGCAGAAACAAGCCGAATCCATGTTCAAAGTCGACTTCTTCGAATTCTACACGCTGCTCGAGCGCTACATCACAGACTGCCTCGCCATCTTCGGCGTTTCCGTCTCCGCCTCCGCACCGCGCACAAACTTCAACGCCCTCCGTTACGAGACCAATCCCGATCTGCACCGAACGCGACCAATGGCTTCGCATGCCTTCCACGCAAACCTCCTAGAAGCCTTAGATGACGAGAAGAGTCCGTTGGCAGGGTCTTTGGGCCTACAGGATGTTCGTGTACAACTAGGCATTGCGAAGGAATACCGTAATGCATGGAAAGATGCTGATAGCAAGGCAAACACAGCCAGCGGCGACGCCCGCGCGAACCTCTCGCTTCAGGACCTGCAACTCGAGCATATGTTACGCAATATCATTGGTGGCTGTGATCTCGCTCATGAGGCAGTGCAGCAGCATTCCGACGGTACTGCGAACGGTACTTTGACCAGTCGAGACTTCGAGCCCAAGACGTCGTATGGATACACGAGCATGGAGATTGAAGATACGCCTTTTGAATACATGGACGATGCTATGGATCTTGACTGAAACAGTGTCATTCGTGGAAAGGACATCTTGCATATTGTCACAATACTTGGTCATTGCTAAAGCCGATCGACGGCTCATGATGTAGGTCGCTACGTTCTCCTTTACATCTCTTCGACCGCCTTGCTACTTCGATCCCAGACCCAAGCCCTCCTATACTCTTAGTCTCTCTTCGATACCACCGAGAGCCTCAATCGGGCTCATCGGCCGATGTTGCTCAATACCAACCTTCTGCATCAAATGCTCCTCTTCATGTCCTTCATCCTGGAGCACACTATCCGCACGATACCTGTTGCCCTCAGCTCTTCCAGCTGTCTCTTCAGATACAAGCTTCTCCTGTTCCAACTCCCACTTGCACCTCTCCTTGCAATCCCAGCACACACTCCTCTTACACACGCGCATATCGTACTTCCACTCATGTCGGTTCAGCATCTCCTGACAGTGCGCACAGTCCATCGGAATTACAATCGTCTCCATATCGCCACGTCGTCGCGCAATGCTAAGACCCTTGCTGGAGCGAGTGTGGATTTTCATATCCCCATCGCTACCAGCATCGATGCCGTCGAAGACAACGAGCTTGTCGACTTTGCACCACCACGCTGGTCGATTGCCGGCTTCGGTTCGCGCACGAACGGATGTGCTGGTGAAGGCGCCTAGTTGTGCACCTGGACCCGGCAGCCAGCACCCATTCGTCGTCTGCCGAGGCGGTGTGAATACACGCGTCTTCTCTTCCTCAACCTTCTCTTTCTTCGCCGACATGTTCAGTCGTTCCTGCAGAAGCGCTGTAGGCGATCGCAGAGCAGCTTTTGACTGCGTCTTTGAGTTGCGGATCAGGTCGTACCGCTTCTCGAGCTCAGAGCGTGGCTTGGAGGAGTCGGACACCGGGTTCGTTCCTAGGTTCAGCTCTGCAGGCCGTTTCAGGCGTGCTATCGAGTCTGTGCGTTGACGGGGTGAAGAGGTCGATGTTGATGCGGTGTGCTTCAAGGAGATAGATGAGTTTCTCGATTGATGATGGGTGTCATTCAGAGCGAGGGACGTGGGTCGGGACTGTGGTGGGAGGCTGTCATCGTCTGAGACATACACACCAGAGTCTCGGTCGCGGGATTGCGTGGCACTGGTAGTTGCGGTAGACACTGGTCGTTTGAGGGTGCTGTCTTGGCCGTGCGCAGAAGGGGGAGGCGCGGCCTTTTTTTGCTGTGGAACGGCTTCCTGGACATGATGGCCCGCTGCTGTCTCCTTCTTCGCAACAGAAACAAGTCCCTCTGTCGCAGCAGTGGGTTGAGGCTTGCTCAATGACGACGATTTTGGTGGCGGCGCTGGTGCCTCCTCTGTGTCGTCCAAAATCAGTTTTTTTGAGTAATTCTTGACTGGACCCTGAAGCTCTCGCTCAGGCTCTTGTATCAAAGGCTCCCGCTCTCCAGCAGGCGGTGTTGCGATGAGGGGTACTGCTTCCAACACCTGCTCAGGCTCCAGCGGCATGGCGTCATCGTCGAAGAGGAAAACCCCAGAATCCTCGCCGTCCGGATTCAGATCCAGGTTCTTGGCTACCAGAGGGATAACCATACTAGAATCTTGAGCTGCTGCATCTTCGTTGAGCAGTGGTGCCTTGGACGGATCAGGCTTGTTGCTCTTCCAGAAGGCGAAGGAAGGCATGTTGTTTAAGGAAAAGACTGTGGGCCGATTACTATCGGAAACGAACGAATGTAGAAATGAATGGATGAAAGACTGAAGAGCAGTGTCTTGCCCAAATGTTACTACCATCTCGCTCTTTACATACCCTCAACCCACCACGCCGCCTACAGACCCTACAAGCACAGCCCCCGCAACCCACGCGTCCTCTAATACCCCTCTCCATCTTTACACACACTAATCCCACATCTCAATACCCTGAATAATCTCCTTCCACGATGCCAAATGGCTCTCTGACGTCTGTATGCTCGCTCAATGTGGAGGTGGTGCGATACGAAACACCGACAGCCGGGATCTAACTGGTGCATTGTTTTACAACATCCCAGCCCGGCCCTGTCTCAGACGCGACTGACGTTCATGCGCGCTAGGATCATGGGGGTGGTATATCGATAAGAAGGATGTGGGACGGGGATGCGGCTTATGCGTCGTGTGCGTGAGGAGGGGTGGGTGTTGGAAGTTGATGATGTGCGAGTATTTTGACTGGAGTGTTTTGAAACATCTATGAAGGGGACTACCTGTCTATGCGTATAGACTCTTTTGGTATTACTTTGACGTTGCTGTACTAAGATAATACAGTAGCTAATTAGTTCTGGTATGCAAGCATTATTACACGACGCGTCCCTTCACCTGCTTGATGTTCTTGACGTTGATGTCGCGCCATCCCGCCGCGGCGATAAGAGCGCATCCCAGCATGCAAATACTCGTGATGAGCATGAGCCGCTGCGAATCAGCATACGACTGCGCAATACCAGTCCTCTCAGGCGATCCCCATTCGTAAGACAGTTGGTTAGGCAGTGAGGCATAGATATCCGCGACATTGACGCCAGCCGGGACGTTCTTGACGAGATTGTTATAGAAAGTTCCGGTCCAGATAGCAGCTGATACTGTGCTTCCGACCGCACTGCCGATGGAGCAGAAGAGGTTGAGAACAGCGATGATGACAGCCATATGCTGATGGTCTGATGGCGCCATCATAGCCAGCTCGCCGGCGATGACAATCGTTCCGCCTGCGACTGCAGTAAAGATCTGCGTCATCACGATGAAACCCACTGATGTCCCCGGTTGTCGGAAGTGGATCATGAGTCCCAAAGCCAGGATGTCAATTGGAAGTGCAAAGAAGACGGCAACCCACTTGAAGCGCCCCGTGATCCTGATTGCCGGCCCGACAGCGGCCAAGCACCAGAAGCAAGAGACCACACGGTAGATACTCTGGACGTAACTGGCTGTAGTCACGTTGAGGTTCCAGACCACCTGCAGCATGGAACCGAAGTAGCTTCCCCAAACCGCGCTGTTGAAGTAGACGAAGACGAACATGATGCCGGCGAGGAACACGGTACGGTCCAGGAGCAGTTTGTACGGAATGAACGTGACAGGTGCGAAGAACCTTTCCCAGATGGGGAATGCGATGAGTAGGATGAAGCCAGCGACAATCATTCCGATGATCATAGGACTCTTCCACTTCTCCGCCTGGTAGCTATACAAGCTGAACGGCAGCAAGAATAGCGCCATACCCGCTACTAGTATCAAGATACCAACAGCATCGATATCGACACAGAATTTCCTGATGGCTGCAGCGCTCCAGTCGATGCGGCGTGGCTCGAGTAATCCTTGCTTTCGCGCTTTCCTGTCGTTGAAGAGAACCAAGGCAGCGAGGGGTGTGACGACGACGGGGATGATGATGGTGAAGATGCCGAAGGCCCAGCGCCAGCCCGGTCCGGATAGCACGGATTGTGCAACGGGACCGCCGATCCAGGTCGTGATTATGTAGGGCGAGGTTGCGAAGGAGAGCATGAGAGCGCGGTTCTTGAGGGTCGAGGTATCGGCAATGAAGACGGTCAGGATGTAGGATACTGCTTGTGATCTGACATCTT